GGGGGGGGTGGGGGTGGGGGCGGGCATGGTGGCCGAGTTGCTAAGGCATCTGACATTCTGCTACCACTAGCCCTCCAACTGGGTCGCAGGTTCGAGGCCTACGCTGGGCAGTAGTCAGGTATTAGCCACAGGTCTGAGACTTTCCTCCATCACCAAAACCTGGCATGTCCATGTGGTAAATGACCATAGCTGTTAATAGGACGTAAAACACAAACAAACAAACAAAACGTGAATATTTAGTACAAACTTACATCAGGATGGTCCAATACTGGCTTCATATCTAGCACCTTCTTATAGTAGTGGATGGCAGCTTAGGTCAACCCTGAAATCACAACAGGTCTAATCAATTCTCAGTCCCACAAAACTTAGGTCAACCCTGAAATCACAACAGGTCTAATCAATTCTCAGTCCCACAAAACTTGGGTCAACCCTGAAATCACAACAGGTCTAATCAATTCTCAGTCCCACAAAACTTAGGTCAACCCTGAAATCACAACAGGTCTAATCAATTCTCAGTCCCACAAAACTTGGGTCAACCCTGAAATCACAACAGGTCTAATCAATTCTCAGTCCCACAAAACTTAGGTCAACCCTGAAATCACAACAGGTCTAATCAATTCTCAGTCCCACAAAACTTGGGTCAACCCTGAAATCACAACAGGTCTAATCAATTCTCAGTCCCACAAAACTTAGGTCAACCCTGAAATCACAACAGGTCTAATCAATTCTCAGTCCCACAAAACTTAGGTCAACTCTGAAATCACAACAGGTCTAATCAATTCTCAGTCCTACAAATCCTACCATTCATCTGATTCAATGCCAAAATCAATTAAATCTACAAAATGGTCACATCCTAAGACACCATAAATACAAAAGGGTTGATACTTCTTATAATGATTAGAGCTACAGAGGATCTGTTTAGGGGAGATTTTTTTTTTATTTGTGTTTCCGCTATCATCCTCAGAAAAAAAAGGTTGGTAGGTAAAAAAACAGGCAATGTTTTTTTTTTTATTTTGAAAAATATTTTTACTATGCTTATATAGAGCATGAGTTCTGACTTTAACAGTGCATTTTACTAAATGCCAATACAAAAATTAGGTTTGGCACAAAAATCTAGGTTAGGTAGATTGGCTTGGCGGAAACACAAGATTTTTTGATTTGGCCTAACTAAACAATGGACAGGATTGTTTTAGTGTCCTGTACATAGGAGAAATTACTCACATATAAACAGAATACTTGTAATACGTATTCAACAAGCACTTTTAGTCACGACAGGTTGTAAAACCTTGATTATAAATATTCCTAGAGAACTTAATAAGCTTTTACATCATCTTCAAATTAGTATGCTTTTAGCTATTATCATTATTTCTCCACCTTTACGTTAAGAGATGTTGAATATTGTTACTGCACTACACAAGATAAAGACGGACAATGTAAAAGGACTGTGTGTCTGTGTGTCGTGTCGTGTCTGTGTGTCGTGTCGTGTCTGTGTGTCATGTCGTGTCTGTGTGTCGTGTCGTGTCTGTGTGTCATGTCGTGTCTGTGTGCTGTGTCGTGTCTGTGTGTCGTGTCGTGTCTGTGTGTCATGTCGTGTCTGTGTGTCGTGTCGTGTCTGTGTGTCATGTCGTGTCTGTGTGCTGTGTCGTGTCTGTGTGTCGTGTCGTGTCTGTGTGTCATGTCGTGTCTGTGTGTCGTGTCGTGTCTGTGTGTCAGAGGGCTCAGGGCTGAGAACTCCATATGACGGTCAGTATTGGAGGAAGGTTTTATTCAATATATCAATACCTATGGCTCCTTGTAGGTCATTCTGTCTGCTGTGTTATCTAATGGTACACAGCTGGCCAGTTCTCGTGGCTGGAGTAGGAGTGACAGTAGAAACTGACCAATTTGAACAGTTTAGTCTATGCTTGGAGACCGTGGAAACTATTCTATCTAAATAGTTTGTTTAACTCATTCACCCCTGAAGACACATTTGAACTCTTCCAAGTCAATGGATGAAATATTTCATTATGAAGTTTCAGGGGTGAATGAGTTAATGCTATGCAACAGCGGAAACAAGAGCGGCTTAATCATACAAACTAACTTCGTTGTTGGAAAGATCATAAAAATTGACTTACCTTATTGACTGAGAGGATCATACAAACTGATTAAATGGATTGAAGGATTGTAAAATTGACTTACCTTATATAAATATTGACCGAGAGGATCATACAAACTGATTTAATGGATTGAAGGGATTGTAATATTGTCTTACCTAATTGATGAAGAGCTCTCCCGATATTGAAGTTAGATTCCTGACAGTCCCCTCGTAACTCGGCATAGTTGTGTAAGAACACCAGGCCCTACAACAACACATAACAGTAATCCTCTCTCCACATCAGCAATCACCACTGGGCCACGTACATCAAGATGAAAGACTAAGTTATTTGTCTTTTTTTCTGACGAATATAACACTGTCTGACACAATGAAATTTTCAAATCTCCTTTTGTATCGATGTCAACAAAGAAACGGAATTATTTAAATCAAAAGTTGAAAACCAAACTTCTACATTAGCAGTTCTCCTTCCATCGCAGTTCCATGTGTCCTTGACCTTAAGATAGGGTCAGTGTTATATTACGGCAGATCCATGTTTACATGATCAACAACAGCAGATCCTCATCTAGATCAGGGGAGAGTCAGGGGCCTGTTATCCAGCCCTTGTTCAGAGTGGATTTGTTATCATATGGAAGCATAGTCCAGGACAGGACCTTGGTAGGAGGACAAGGGGGTGCAACAATCAGTGTTTTTATTTTGTTTTGTTTTACTGTTTGAAAATTTGGTGGGTTCACCCGCGTACCAGTGACAGCGTACAGGCTGCTATGCGCCCCAGAGTTAAGTACTGTGTATTACATTAGACCAGATACCATTTTTAGTAATAACTAAATGTTTCTCATAATCTTTGCTAGGTCTAATAAGAATTTAAAGCACTTAATTGACATTTGAGGAGATTTCTTATGTGTCCATAAGAAAAAATATTATGTGTCCTCTTCGCTCTTATACAACAGTGAAATCAATGATTTTCATGGGGTTTTATAATATCATTGATTTTGTGGGTTATATTTATCCACAAATTCATAGGTCCACAAATTTAAGTAATTACAGGTTTGACATAAAGCAATTCTCTGGTAGTTATTAGGAAAACCACAAAAGTGGGGTGCCATGAGGAATATCTGATTTCACAGTAATCACTTTACTTTAGATCATTAACAACATCTGGCTGCCAGCTGCTCTATTCCCCTAAATATCTTTACTTAACATGAATATTAATTAAAACCTCTTATCGTAGGATCAAACTTTTATCGTGTTATCAACATTAAAGGTTAAATCACAGAAATACTGGCAAATATAATGTGTATATGTGTGCATACTGTTGTGTCATGACTGATTTTTTTTCTGAACACGGAACATATACATTGCAGTGATTTATGTGGGGTTCTTTTGCCCTTTTTTGCTTTGCACTAGAGGGAATTTCCATTAAGCTCTGTGGTAGAGCGTCAGACTTACAGGAAGTCTAGGGTCGCGCCGGTTCAATCCCTGGTGGAAGCACACTACTCCCTAAATCCTGTTACATGTACATCAATTTAAATGTTTCAGCATTCAAAGGTCTGAATCGTTCATGTTTCATAACAGTCTTCATGCTCTTTTCATAATATACAATATTTGATATTTGATATAGTGTCCTATCTGGATAACAAAAGTCACTCTAAAGTGCTTTACAGTACATAGATATACAATTAACACAATTAGCATATATACATTAATCAATACAATTTTGAGGAATTTGCAGGAGCTGCTATATCAGGTGCTAACTACTAGTCCTATGCCACCTGGCTAATATCCCCTTATGTGTGTATGCCTGTGTGTGTGCTGGAGATGTACTCAGTCTTCGTAGGAGTTTGTCAACTCCATCTTACATATCATCTAGGGGAAGAGCCGTGGACATTTCACATCTGCTTTTACTCACACAGGATGCTGTCTTATAATTAGGAGTCTTTGTTTCTAATTATAACCCTCTCCGTATATATGGCATGTCAAACTCTGTTAAATTTAACAGTTTTATTTGTGATAAGTATTATATGACTGAAATGAATTTTGCAATGTTTGATAGGATATATGATGTACTTTCAATAATGTATTTGTCTTAATAAAAACACTGATTACTATTACCAATACCTGAGTAAATACGGTAATTTTGAAAAAATTTAATGAATCATAATATTGTATCATCAATTTTCAAAATTGATTGTATTCATTATTTGATTAATATTGCCATAGTTATGAATGAACTGTAGACGTTGAAATGGGACGGTTCATTAGGGAGTAACAGAGAGACAGGCGGTAAGTCAGAGATGACAGATACCAGATATCAATGATTTGTGTAGATATGTGTTAAGATTACGGAAGCATGCTGTACAGATGCTCTGATAACTCCGTGCCACAGATGTAGGAACATCTTCTCCGTGATTGAATCACTCAATAGCATATCTGTCATTATGATTCCACTTGTATTGAATTAACAAATATATCGGCATCTATCATAAAATTAGATCACACACATGTCATAGAAACTACACACATGTATCATCAGCAGTAGTGATTTGGATTTGAAAAATTTACAATGTTTCCACAATTTTTTTTTAATTTTTATGAGCAAAAGACAATGTTTCAACAAGATTCATCAATTAGTTAAGACTCCTGACTGGTTCCTTTTTCTAATTAAGACTGAGTTTTAGCTTGAGAAAAAGACTAATAAAACTCAAAACTTTGTGACATATTTATAAATGGATCATGTAAAAGTAAACCATTGACTTGTATGTGTATCTCTGTATTTTATCAAGCGCAGAGGCTTGTGCTTGAAAACATGTCAAACGTACTGGGTGGGCTAATTACCGCACACGAGCCTGTCTTTTACCGATCACAAGCCCAGACTGAAGATTGTGGTCTGCAATCTTGGTAAGTTTCAGCCTACCAAAATGGCACTGGTTATACTTTAGCTTGTAATGTTTATATTGCATGTAGCTGTTGCAATTCATATCGCAAATAAGCCAACATTTATTATGATTACATACCTTTGTCAATGACCTTAGTGAAAGAAGATGTTACTTATAGATTTAACAATCACCAGCTGACCTTCAATCAAATTACAAATATGATTTTGTAAAGAAATGAACACATATCACTTATCAAAATGTGTAATTTGTATTGATTTTGTGATAAGTATTAAATGTGTGTCAAATACATCCATAAACAACACCCTTTGTTAAACAAAAGGTCCATTGGATCTGTATCGCTNCAATTTCTTAGGACCGCAGGGGTCAAATCAACCTCATTCAATTAAGATATGTTTGTTCTTCCTCAATCATGTTTTTGACCAAATTTTGTACAATCCACTCAGGCAATTAAGGGATATTAGCGTCTTAAAGCAAAATATTAGATAATTTTCCTCTTTGGGGTCCGGTCTTCCTAGCTCCAGGGGTCGAACCTGTCTCATTTATTTAGGAAATGATTGCCCTCCCCCAATGAAGTTTCAGAGCAAATTTGGTTGAAATCTTCTCTGACGTTTAGGAGGAGATGCGTTTTAAAGCAAATTTAGCTAACTCCCTCTTCAGGGCCCCGCCCCCCTGGCCTCAGGGGTCGAACCAAACTCATTTATTTAAGAAAAGATTGCCCTCCCCTAGTGATGCTTCAGACTGAATTTAGTTGAAATCCTCTCTGGCGTTTAGGAGGAAATGCGTTTTAAAGCAAATATAGCTAAGTTCCCCTTCAGGGCCCGCCTCCATGGCATTAGTGATCAAACCAATCTCATTTAATAAAGAAATGATTGCCCATCCCTACTGATGCTTCAGACTTAATTTGGTTGAAATCCTCTATGGCGTTTAGGAGGAGATGCATTTTAAAGCAAATATAGCTAAGTTCCCCTTCAGGGCCCCGCCCCCCTGGCCTCGGGGGTCGAACCAACCTCATTTATTTAAGAAATGATTGCCCTCCCCTAGTGATGCTTCAGACTTAATTTGGTTGAAATCCTCTTTGGTGTTTAGGAGGAGATGCGTTTTACAGCAAATTTAGTTAAGTTCCCCTTCAGGGCTCCGCCCCCCTGGCCCCAGGGGTCGAACAAACCTCATTTATTTTTAAGAAATAATTACCCTCCCCTAGTGATGCTTCAGACTTAATATGGTTGAAATCCTCACTGGCGTTAAGTAGGAGATGCGTTTTACAGCAAATTTAGCTAAGTTCCCCTTCAGGGCCCCGCCCCCCTGGCCCCAGGGGTCGAACCAACCTCATTTATTTAAGAAATGATTGCCCTTCCCTAGTGATGCTTCAGGCGTGTGGCAGGTGAGCTAATAATAAATCGACCCTATCAATTCCCTTGAGTTTAACACTAGCTCAAAGTTCCTTACCCCATCCAAATATGCACTGTTCATGTTGCATAAATAATATAATAATAATAATTCAAGGTTCTTATATACTCCTTTTCACAACCTAGTTCGTAGGTCGTCTCAAAGTGGTTCACAAATTATTATCCGTGGTTATAGGGCCTTTGCAACCAGCCAATATCTTTCTCAACTCCCTAGGGAGCATACAGCTGGTGTTGCCATTTAGGCACTCACAGCTAGCATTCAACAATTCCAGCACTGCCCAACCACATACTCATTTACAGCTGAGTAGACTTGAACAAGCTGAGTAAAGTATCTTGTTCAAAGATACAAAACAGTGCCTTGACTTGACTTGAACCTGCAACCATTTGGTGACAAGCCCGGCGTCCTACCACTAGACTAACGTGCCTTGCATGATCAACCATTTATCATTGGTATGATATATATTTGAAAAAGCAATATGAAACTATATATTATAGTGACTTATATATGCAGGGTCGCTTGACCATTTGAGATGGGTTCATTTCACAATAGTGGTATTTGACCCCAGGTCACTTTACCATGGGGGTCAAAATGCCATACATAAAGGTTGCATTTCAAATGAGGCATAAATAGTAAAATTGGTAACCTACCTGGGTCAGTAGAAAATGCTTCTTTGCAGAAAACTTTTGAGCTGCCAGGTGTATGAAGGTTAGCCCAATACACAGACTGACCAGTGGTTCCTTAGGCCAAGTCCGTAGTACAGACACATACTCCCCTGTAAAACAAGTCATAATATAATTATCACCAATACACAGACTGACCAGGGGTTCCTTAGGCCAAGTCCGTAGTACAGACACATACTCCCCTGTAAAACAAGTCA